CATTTTTTCATGGATTTGTCTGAAAATTGGTATTTGTAGGTCATAACGAGTCCCTGTGCGTGTGGCAAAACATTGCATGTATAGATCCACGTTTGGGTATAGCCCCCATATAAAGGTACCTCCCGATATTCGGTATTTTGATTATTTTTGCCACATTTTTTTACGGATTTGCCTAAAAATTGGTATTTGTTGGTCATAATGGGTTCCAGCTTCAGTGGCGAAACATTGTATGTATAGGTCCACGTTTTCGTATAGCCCCCCTATAACGGTACCTCCCGATATTCGGTATTTTGATGATTTTTGCCACATTTTTCAACGGATCTTTCTAAAAATTGGTATTTGTAGAACATAATGGGTCCTAGCTCCGGTGGCAGAACATTGTATATCTATGTCCACGTTCTCGTATAGCCGCCATATAACGATACTTCCCAATATTCGGCATTTTGATGATTTTTTGCCACATTTTTCCACGGATCTTTCTAAAAATTGGTATTTGTAAAACATAATGGGTTCTAGCTGTGGTGCGGAAGCATTGTATGTATAGGTCTACATTTTCGTATAGCCATATAACGGTACCTCCCGATATTCGGTATTTTGACGATTTTTGCCACATTTTTCAACGGATTTGTCTGAAAATTCGTATCTGTTGGTCATAATGGGTTCTAGCTCCAGTGCCGAAACATTGCCCACGATTTGGTATGGCCCCCATATAACGATACCTCCCAATAATCGGAATTTTGATGGTTTTTGCCACACTTCATCGTGGATTTGTCTTAAAATTGGCATTTGTGGGTCCTAATGGGTTCTAACTCCTTTGTATAGGTACACGTTTTTGTATAACTCCATATAGACGTATTTCTCGATATTCGGTATTTTGATGATATTTGCCACATTTTCCCAAGAATATATCTAACAAGTAAGCAAAGGCTACAGTCGAGCGGGGCCGACCGTTGAATACCCTACAATAATATAATAAATATAATAAAAGACACAGTTTATATAGGCGAGATACTCGAAAGAATTCCACCAGATATTGTGACAAATAATAAAAGAAAACCATCAGGTTTCGTCCTCTAATTTTCGAATAATAGCAACTTAAACTAATTTGCTCATTTCTAATTTATTGGTAGATGTTGCACTTAAATGGTCTTCCTAGATCTGGAACCAATATTTTCCAAAAACCTCTCAGAAGTGGCAAAAGATTAACATTTGTTATTGGTTTTTGACTGAAACGCATCTATATGAGATACAGACATATGACTATATTCTTCAACAAAATCAGCGTTAACGAAATAGTCAGAAGTGCGTCATTCCTGTATTTGGGAATTCTCCAAAAAGTCACTGGAATGGACATTTTCGTATTTTGTCTACAAAAGTTGGCAAACTCCTTCACATATTGAATATTTTTGGATGGCCATCCAAAACTGCTTGGCTTTTGCAATGTCCGGTAACCCCATTCAAATGTGCGTGAGGACCGGGCGATAATTACGACCTGCTGACAATTTTGCAGTTTTTTGGTCCATTTCAACCCCTAAATATAGGGCGATCATCTCCAAAAAGAGTAGGCTTCTATTCTGACCCTCATCTTATCCCCATGCAAAATTTCGTAAGGATCGGGCCATAAATGCGATCTGTATATGATATCCTGATATCCTAACTACTTAGTTTTGTTAGCTGTAGAAATATTACCAAATGTTTAATTCAAAATGAAAATATGCCAAAAATATGACAAAATTGAAAAAATATGAGAAAATATTACAAAATCAATATTTTCATCTTTAGAGAGATATTTTTAAGTAATTTTTAGAAGTTTTTTCTTTCCTGCCAAGAGGCCATTCTGAATTAATGAGAACTGTCGAAATCAGTTCAGCCGTTCTCGACATATATGAGATATTTGAAGCATATCTTCTTTGATAGACATATATATCGCACATATTTTGCTATATATCCGATTTGTTTGATCTTAACATCAATGTGAAGATCAGAAGTAACCTTGTCATGGCTTTGGATTTCGCCGGGATTTAAAGGATTCGCGGTTTAATGAAAAATTTTGAATTTTTTCAACAAAAAAGATATGGTCTATTTTACCCGCTAAATATTATCCGATGACCACCCAAAGTGGTAGACTTCTTCCCCGCCCTAAACTCTAGCTACATGCGAAATTCCGCGTCGATTGGTCTATAATTGCGACCTGTATAGCTACTGCAAAATCAGACATTTTTTCAGTATTTGGTCCATTTCAACACCTAAACATATGGCGATCATATCCAAAAGAAATAGGCTTCTATTCTGACCCTTACCCCACCTTCGTGCAAAATTTCGTTAGGATCGGGCCATAATTGCGACCTGTAGAGTGATTACAAATTAACATGGACAGACGGACGGACGGACATACATAGCTAGATCGACTCAGCTCGGCGAGCTAGGAAGATCCATATATACTTTCCTATATGGGAAACCAATATTTCGAGGTGTTACATAAATTCTGGCCCAATCAAACTTATAATACCCACAACACATAGTGTTGTAGGGTATAAAAATTAGTAGGTGGAGTTAAAAGTTTTTCCCGGCTGAACTTAATGTTTTTTTTATTTGTTTTTTTTTTTTTGTTTTTTTTACATTTTAATTTAATTTAGCCGTTTTGAGTTAGTAGTTGAAGAGGAAATTGAAATAAACCTTTTAAAAATAAGTGGAATCGGATTTTATTTCGTGTTTTCTGTGCTTCATCGATATTCAAAATGTTGACCTTTTTGTGGGCGAGGTACCAGAAGGAGTGGGCCGATATTGTCCAACTTAACACCAGACCTTGGGTTAATATAAATATTGGGATGTGTGAAATTTGAAGACAACCGAACTCTTACATCACATCTTATAAGAGTTGTAATTATCCAAAATTATACTATATTGTCTATTTTCACACCTGACCTGATTCTTGGGCTTTTTGTGGGGTAGGTATAGGAAGGAGTGGTCCGATATTGTTCATCTCCGAAGTCCATCTAAGTGTGATAATAACATTACGATGTATCAAGTTTAGATACTCCCTTCGAGAGTTATTGTGCGCACCAGCTAGACAGACGGGCAAACGGACGGACATCGCTAAATCGACTTCAAATGTCCTGAAACGGATTTGGTCAAAAGAGACCTACGATCTAAAATCGTTATTTCGATGAGGCACGTTTTGGCGGTATATAACCTCTGTAGCCATATGGCTGAGATTATAAAAATTCGGGAGCTAAAAGTATCCATTCAAAGAAAATCCACTTGAATAGCATTTGTGCAAACCTTAATTAGCAAAGACACAAACCAATGTGATTTTTTTCTCCGGTTCACAAAGGGTTAATAAAGAGAGAGAGAGAGAGACTCCTCGAGACCTTTCATTTGTGTCCAGCCTCGACACCACTCCATTCTTAGTTTCTGTTCTGTGGACCCTTTTTTCTGCAATTTCCCTAAAAATGAGCGACAATTCTTCAGAAAATCCAAAAAAAAAAACCTAAGTCTGAAATTCTTTTTGACTATAAGGTCCATATATTCGAAAAAAATTGTGCACAGCCTTAACCCCGCTTCATTTTTAAAAATTTTATTCTGGATTTAAATGTAGAATTTAGGGTTTCAAATATTTTCAACGCGAATTTTAATTATGTTTTTATTTAGCGATTTCATTGTACAGGGTTGCCCATATTCGACGGACCCATCTGGCAACGGCATAACTTTTGACAGAGATGTTACATCGCTTAATGACATACCGCATTTGAAGCGTCAGTCCAAGCAGATTTTTACCATGAACCAATACACGGTACGTGAGCGCTCTGAAATGGTTGAAATTTATAAGAAGTCAATTGTGAAAACTCAACGTGCTTTTAAAACATTAAAAAAAGTGAGAAGTGCGCCTTCTAAGAACACCATTAAGCGTTTATACGAAAAATTTTCGACTGGTAAGGCTCTTTCTAATCCGAAGAGGCAATTTAAAAGTCGACCAAGGCGATCGGCCGAGAATATCGCTGCCGTACGAGCCAGTGTTGAAAGGTCCCCAAGAACATCCCAAAAACGCCGTTCTCAGCAGTTGGGCATGGCTCGGTCCACTTTACAACGGATTATTCGCATTGTTTTGCATTTGTTCCCGTACAAAATTCAATTGATGCAAAGAATGTTGCCTGCGGACAAGCCTCGTCGATTGGAATGGGCCCAAAGGTCCGTCGAATATGGGCAACCCTGTAAATTTGAAATTTGTACGGAAAGTTTAGAAATTTGATCAAAACTAATATATAACTTAATTGACCTTTAATTTTTCTCTGGTTTACTACTCCCTTTCTCTCTCTCTCTATTTCTCTTTCTCTCTCTCTTTATTAACCCTTTGTGAACCGGAGAAAAAATCGTCTTGGTTTGTGTCTTTGCTAATTAAATTTATATTTATCTTGACAGACATGGAATTTTGTTTCATCATCCCCGGTAGTTTAAACTTCAATATTTCATCTCCCAAACATTCATCCTAACCATTAATTATCCGATCAAAAAGACATTGTGTCTCTGAGTGGCAAAAATTTTTAAAAATTGCCTACCTTGATGCCAAGTCAACACGTAATTTGAATTTTTTCTACTCGTACATATTTTATACCGGATGAATATATAATTTCATAAATTACATCATGTGCCGACATAAATGGCATTTAAATACTTAAAACTTTTCCAAAACGAGAGAAAAAAACAAATTGCACAAACAACAAATAAAACATATATTTTGCGAGTGTAACAAGTACTGGATTAGAATAACAAAAACGAACTCAGTAAATTTGACTTAATATTCCACACGACGACAAAGAAAGACGTTTCTCCGGCATCAAAATGTGTAAAACTTATTGAAATTTCCAAAAAAGTTGGCTGACAAACTTTGCTAATATTTTGAGACAAAGCAATAAAAGAAAATTAATATGCCATTTAATCCAGTAAATCTATTCTGCCATAAGGAAATTCTAATAATTTTTTTTTTCGTTTTTTTATTTCAGGAAAAATAAAAATAAAAATAAAAAAATTCAAAAAATAAAAAAAAATCAGGAGATTTTGTTAAATTTTCCAAAGCGCTAAATCGTCAACTGCAAATTATAACAATGTTGCCATCGAGTTCCACTTCCAAAACTATGTCAACGATGATGATGATGTCCACCCATTGTCGTCGTCAACAGCAACAATACCACCAACAACAACAACACCAGGAAAATGATCTACACCACCGTTGCCGTCGTCGTCGTCGCCCCATGGCCACTTTTTATGGGCCAAATCGATGGCTTTGGACTGCTGTACTATTCGGATTATTAATAGTCACTGTCAGTGCTAAAGATGAGGTGAGTTGAATTCAAAAGTTTTGTTTAAAATTCGCATGTACAAATTCCAAGTTGAAGAAATATTACCACAAAAAAACAAAACAGTTAATGTTATAATATTAGAATCTCCACAACAGGATGAGATAAAAACAAGTTAAAAACCAGTATTTTCGGCCGGCCCGAAATTTGAATACCCTCCACTATTTTGAACGAATTTGGAAATTTTCAAAAAATAAAGTCCGTTAAAAATTCTGTTAAAAACTTAAAAATACGACGTGGACGTGTAAGCCATTACCATATTCAAATTCGGAACTTAAAATAAACGGTGATGTACTGTTATTTCGGAGCTATACGAAGACCTGAACATACATAGACCATTTTCTGTCACAGGCTGTAGCACATCTCAAACAATTTCGATGAGTATTGTACATAAAATCGTCAAAGTACCGAATATAGGGAGGTACACATATATGGGGCCAATACGAAGACCTGAACCTTCATAGACAATTTTCTGTCACAGGCTGCCATTACGAACTCTATATACGTAATTTAAAACCACTCCAGAGAATTATGACGTCAAAGTCGTCACAATACCGAATATAAGGAGGTAACGTCATATGGGGGCAATACGAAGACGTGGACCTGCATACAAAATTTTCTATAATAGGCGGTGGTATCCATAACGAACTTCAAATACCAAATTTGAAAGAATTCCGGTGATTAATGTCGCTAAAATCATCAAAATACCGAATATAGGGAGGTAGCGTTATATGGGGGCTATACAAAGACCTGGACCTGCATAAAGAATTTTCTCTCACAGGCTGTAGCATCCACTACGAACTTCAAATATCAAATTTGAAAGAATTCCATTGAATAATGTCGCCAAAATCATCAAAATACCGAATATTGGGAGGTTGCAGCATTCAGTACGAACTTCAAATATCAAATTTGAAAGAATTCCATTGAATAATGTCGCCAAAATCATCAAAATACCGAATATCCGGGGGTACCGTTCTATGGGGGCTATACGAAGACGTGGACCTGCATAGAATATTTTCTGTCTTAGGCTGTAGTATCCATAACGAACTTCAAATACCAAATTTGAGAGACTTCCGTATAATAATGTCGCCAAAATCATCAAAATACCGAATATTCGGAGGACCGTTATATGGGGGCTATATGAAGACGTGGACCTGCATAGAAAGTTTTCTGTCTTAGGCGGTGGTATCCACTTCGAACTTTAAATACCAAATTTGAAAGAATTTCGGTGAATAATGTCGCCAAAATCATCAAAATACCGAATATCGGGAGGTACCGTTCTATGGGGGCTATATGAAGACGTGGACCTGCACAGACAATCCCCTGTCTTAGGCTGTAGCATCCATTTTGTACTTCAAATATCAAATTTGAAAGAATTCCGGTGAATAGTGTCGCCAAAATCATTAAAATACCGAATATCCGGAAGACCGTTATATGGGGGTTATATGAAAACGTGAACCTACATGGCCCATTAACGAACTTAACCTGCCTACTGGCAAAATAAACATGTGTGCAAAATTTTACCCTTCTCTCTTGATTCGTTCGAAAGATAGCGTGATTACAACAAACAGACAGACGGACACAGCTAAATCGAGGTCGAATTTTACGCTGATCAAGAATATATATATATATATATATATATATATATATATATATATATATATATATATATATATATATATATATATATATATATATATATATATATATATATATATATGTATATATATACTTTGTTCGGTCTGAAGGGGGGAGGTGAGGTATCAGAAGGAGTGGACTGATGTATTCCCTCTTACTGCCAGATCTTGGGTTCGTAAAATTAGTAGGATGTGTTAAATTTCAAGACAATCGGACACTTATATCAATCATATTTTTAAAAAAAAAGTTATAGTTATTCAAAATTTTGACCCTTTGTGGTAGGTGCACTTGATGGAATGGACCGATATTGTCCATTTTCACACCTGACCTAGCGCTGAAGCAAATATTAGGATATGCAAAGTTGGAACAAAATCGGATTATCCTTTCTCTTTCTGTGCAGAAAATATTTTTTTTTTTGCAAATTTCGACCTTTTGTGGGGGAGGTACCAAAAGGAGTGGACCGATTTTGCCCATCTTAACACCAGACCTTGGATTAATGTAAATATTGGGATGTGTGAAATTTGAAGACAATCGGACGATTACATCACATTTCATGAGAATTGTAATTATTCAAAATTATGACCTTTTGTGGGGGAGGTACCTGAAGGAACGAACCGATTTTGGGCATCTTAACACCAGAATTCGGGTTAATATAAATATTGGGATGTGTGAAATTTGAAGACAATCGGACTCCTACATCACATTTTATGAAAATTGTAATTATTCAAAATTTTGACCCTCTGTGGTAGAGGCACTTGATAGAATGGACCGATATTGTCCATTTTCACACCTAACCTAGCACTGACGCAAATATTGGGATTTGCAAAGTTGGAGCAAAATCCGATTATCCTTTCTCTTTCTGTGCAGAAAATATTTTTTTTTTGCAAATTTCGACCTTTTGTGGGGGAGGTACCAAAAGGAGTGGACCGATTTTGCCCATCTTAACACCAGACCTTGGATTAATGTAAATATTGGGATGTGTGAAATATGAAGACAATCGGACGATTACATCACATTTCATGAGAATTGTAATTATTCAAAATTATGACCCTTTGTGGGGGAGGTCCCAGATGAAGTGGGCCAATATAGTCCATTTTCACACCTAACCTAGCACTGACGCAAATATTGGGATTTGCAAAATTGGAGCAAAATCGGATTATCCTTTCTCTGTCTGTGCAAAAAATATATTTTTTGGAAATTTTCGAACTTTTGTGGGGAAGGTACCAGAAGGAGTGGGCCGGTATTACCCATCTCCGAAGTAGATTTAATTTTGACAAAAATATTACGATGTACCCAATTGGGACCAAATCGGTTACTCCCTTCGAGAGTTATCGTGCGCACCAGCCAGACGGACGGACGGACGGACGGACATCGCTTGATCGACTCCAAATGTTCTGAAACGGATTTGGTCCAAAGAGACCTAGGGTCTAAAACCGTTATTTCGACTAGGCACGTTTTGACCGTATCAAATTGTATATACCCCCGTTAGCCATACGTCGGAGGTTATAAAAATGTTCAAAAAATCCTCGTTAAAAATTTCCCACAATGGCGAAGCCATTAAAGTAAAGCAAATTGGGTAGTTTTGCGTTGTTCTCAAATATCAAATTTTCTCCAAATGAAAATGGAAAGCTTGACAAAAACAACGATGCAATGTGCAAAAAATAATGTATACACGCACAATAAGACAAACAAACTAAGGGGCAAGAAAAAATAGAAGAAGAAGAAGAAGCAGAAGAAAGTGTAGCACATGTTATCAATATCAGTGTCATTTGTTGTATTTGTTGTGCTTAATTTCATTTCAGTTTTTTTTTTTCCTGCACTACAAAGCCAAACAGCAACACTTTGGCAACCCTCCTCCTCCTCCCACAACCACCCACTTTGTGACAATAATGACAACAGCCGATGGGAGAGTAGGCAGACAACAGCAGCTGTAATAACGGTAGCAGCAAAAAAAAAAAAGGAAAAGAAAAAGAAAATTACGCAGAATATTAAAAAATGACAATTTCATTTTCTCTTTTGTGGTTTTTGTTGCTTCGTTTCATCCTTGCCATTCATTCTAAACTTGTCCCCGAATTTAAACACACACAGTTTCTAAATTTGATAATAAAAAGAGCGGGGATTCCAAACTCTCTTTGCGATGGTAACAATGGCTCTCTCTCTCTCCCTCCCTCGCACTCTTCCTTAACTTTCCCTGGTGATACACACGTGTGGATTAACGCCTCGTGTTTGCCACCAGACCGCATATCAATATTCGTTGGGGAAACTTTAAATTGTATTTATTTGGGAGTAAACTTCAGCAGCAGCAGACAAGTTCGATGTGTGGCCATTTAGCTTTGCTGCAACAATAGAGTGGTATAGTGTGCGGTGGGGAGAGAGTCTGAAAGAGAGCCCAACTCCATTCTCTGTGATGGACGACTCCGAACAAAGCAATGGTGTTACTGGAATATAACAAAAGTCATTATGCGCCACTTCTGGCTAGCTATGGCTCTGCTAGCCTCAAATGTAATTGGAATTGGTTTGGTGAGCAAGTATGAGTGTGTGTGTACGTTTGTGAGTTTGGAAGTTAAACGCCTACTCAATGAATTTATTTTGTTGGCCAGCCAAATGGGCTGGCTTGGGCAAACATGCGGCAAACTGCCAGCAAGAAGGTGGCATGCCGGAAATGAAGTATGATGGCGTGGAAAAGTATGGGGGGTCGGGTCTATGGGCACAGAGATCATGGACAGCCAGAGCCTGTATGTGTGTGTGTTACGAACTGTATCTGTGTTTGCCAGCGTGTATTTAACTTGTGGCGGCATTTTATGGCCACAATTTTACGCGCTTTCCGAATTCAATAGAGAAATCATGACAGACACTGCGGCACAGCATGCAAATTACGGACATTTTGTGTGTGTGTGTGTGTGTGTGTGTGAAAACAGAAAGAGACCGCTTTCGGTTTGCAAAATATGCATTGTGTGTTTGTATGGGTGTGTGCGTCTCTGATGTTTGGAGAAACTTTACTGACAATAAACAGTTTAAAGGGATTAAAATAAAATAACTATGAAAACATTAATCGGTAGCTAAACTAATAATGGCAAATGGAGTTCCAAACAGAGGAAGTCAAACGCATTTAGATCAAAAGGTTGCTGACAGATGAGAACCATAAAATGGCAGAGCAAAACCCAAAGATAATTTCAACAGGTTAAAAAGCAGTTGAATACCCTCCAATATTTGGAAATTTTCAAAAAATAAGGTCCCTAAAAAATTCTGTTAAACTTTAAAAAATACCGATTATAGACGTTATATTGGGGTCTATACGACATGGACCTACATAGGCCTTGTTTGTCATAAGCCACTACCATATT